GAGCATGTTCAATAAAAGGATAAAATAATCCCAAGGTTGGAAAACAGTAGAATAAATTAAAAGGTACAAAAGACCTGAAAAAAGAGCCAATAAAGAGTAGAAACTAGAGAGCTACTGGAGAGGCGGCCATCTCCTACAAGTGTTAACCAATACCTCTGCATTAACCCATCCCCTTGCCATTGGCGGCGTCCAGGGAGCAATCGGCGGTTAACGGTCTTGCTCAGGAACCCAGAGTGGAGGATGTGGGACTTGCAACCTTCTCAGAGCACAAGTACACTGCTCTAACCCTCTAGGCCAACAGTCCTCCATCTCCTCCACAGACCAATGAAAGCATGGTAGTCTCTGTTTAACTAAAGTAGATTGAGTTACCGTCCATCTGCAGATTAGGGTTCACATTGCCAGCACATCCCAACTCCTCTGCCTTCAGGATCTGCTGGAGGACAGCCTCTACGATGGGCATCACCATGGCAGCCGCAGAAACGTTTTGAATCCACATGGAGATGAGGGCACAGCCAGACATGAAGCCCAACATCAGCCTGGAGGAAACAGCATAGGATCAGAATCAGCTGCACGTTCACACTGGGATTACTGGGACAGAGTGAGCAGAGAATAAAGCGGGAGGGATCCTAGAGGACTTCCAAAATGATCCAAACACTTCACTACATCCGGTTACTTTCTCTAAAAAAAATTGTTTGCTCCATGATGTGGAGAACAAACACAGAGTCTGTATTACACAGGTGTCAAACTGGTTCCAGAAAGGGCCGTGTGGCTGCAGGTTTTCTTTCCAACCAATCAATAGCACACCAGACTCCAGTTATCTCATCAAGTCATCATGTTCAGATTGGACTGAAGTCTGGTGTGCTATTGCTTGGTTGTAAAGAAAACCTGCAGCCACATGGCCCTTTCTGGAACCAGTTTGACACTCTTGCTGTATTAGATCGGTCCTAATAAAACTGTAGATCTTAATATTCTAACACTTTAAAGTGAAAATGAGGGAATTGAGGTGAGGCTTGACTTGGAAATGTCTCCTCAATCCAAATAACTGCAGCTTCTGGTTTT